ACACGAGGGGTTCGAGGGCCATGCTATTTCAAGCTTACAATCTAGGAGGGAAGGGATAGTGGTACAGGAGGAGATAACTGTGGGGGATGGAGTGGTAGGAAGAGTGGAGGAGGTCGGCAAATTAGCAGGGGGTAGGCTTCCCTGAAGAAGTGGGTTTTCAGGGTGCGCCTAAAGGAGAGGAGAGTAGGTGATAGTCTGATGAGTTGGGGCAGGGAGTTCCAGAGGATGGGTGACACCCTGGAGAAATCCTGGAGGCAGGCATGGGAGGAGGAGACCAGGGAACTAGAGAGAAGGAGGTCTTCTGACGAGCGGAGTGTGCGTGCTGGGTGGTACTTGGATATTAGGTCAGTGATGTAGTTCGGGGCAGTATGGTGGACAGCTTTGTACGTCAGTGTTAGGATTTTGAATTTGATCCGTTGCGCAATCGGAAGCCAGTGGAGGGATTGGCAGAGGGGGGTGGCGGAGACAGAGCGGTTGGTAAGGTGAATGAGTCTGGCTGCCGTATTCAGGATCGACTGAAGCGGGGATAGCCTGTGGCGAGGAAGGCCAGTGAGGAGGGAGTTGCAGTAATCGAGTCGTGATATGATGAGGGAGTGGATGAGCTGTTTAGTGGTTCCTGGGGTTAGGAACGTGCAGATTTTGGCGATGTTGCGGAGGTGGAGTCTGCATGAGTTTGTCAATGATTGGACTTGGGGCTGGAAGGATAGGTTGGAGTCCAGAATGACACCAAGTACTCTGGCCTGCGGGGCGAGTCTGATAGTTGCATTGTTGGACATGATGGAGAAGTCAATGAGGGGTGGTGCGCGGGCTGAGGGGAAGAATAGGAGCTCGGTTTTGGAGAGGTTCAGTTTAAGGAAGTGTAGTGACATCCAGTTGGATATGTCGTTCAGTAGGTTTGTGATTCGGGCGTAGACTGAGGAGGTGAGGTGGGGGGTTGAGAGATAGATTTGTGTGTTGTCGGCATAGAGGTGGTAGTTGAAGCCGTGAGAGTGTATGAGTTGGCCAAGGAAGGAGGTGTAGATGGAGAAGAGAAGGGGCCCGAGGATGGAGCCTTGAGGGACCCCAACAGAGAGGGGGAGTGAGGGGGAGGTGGTAGCGTTATAAGTAACGCTGAAACAGCGTTGTGACAGGTAGGATGAGAGCCAGGAGAGAGCGGAATCTCTGAGGCCAAGGGAGTGTAGTTTTTTGAGGAGGAGGGGGTGGTCGACTGTGTCAAAGGCCGCAGAGAAGTCAAGGAGTAGGAGCACTGAATAGTGGCCATTAGCTTTGGCGGTTAGAAGGTCATTGGAGAGTTTGATTAAGGCAGTTTCGGTGGAGTGTAGGGGACGGAAGCCGGACTGTAGGGGATCGAGGAGGTTATTGTCATTGAGGTGGGAGCTTAGGCGAGTGTAGACTAAGCGCTCGAGGAGTTTGGATGTTAATGGGAGCAGGGAGATGGGTCTGAGGTTGTTCGGGTCATTGGGGTCCAGGGAGGGCTTTTTAAGTATGGGGGGTGATGTGTGCATGCTTCAGAGGGGAGGGGAATGTGCCGGAAGAGAGGGAGAGATTAAAGATGAGAGTGAGGGAGCGTAGGATGGGGGGGAGGGAGGTCGTAGGAGTTGTGAGGGGACAGGGTCGAGGGGGCAGGTGGTGAGGCGGGCATCAGAGAAGACCTTGGGGACCTCTTCGATGGTAGTAAGGTCGAAGGTGTGGAATGTTGAGGGGGCTTCAGTGTGAGGAATGTTGGGTGGGGTGGAGGTGGAGGTCAGAGCAGTGGTGGGGCCGTGGGAGAGGGGGTGATGAGGGGGTGGCTGTGTGAGAGGGGACGGGGTTGGAGGGAGTTTGAGCAGCGTCAAAGTCCCTGCGGATTGTGTCGAGGGAGAGGGGTGATGAGGGGGTAATTGTGTGAGAGGGGACGGGTTTGGAGGGAGTGTGAGCTGCGGCGATGTCCTTGCGAATTGTGTCAATCTTGTTTTTGAAGTGATTGGCAATCTCAAGGGGGTGGTGAGTGAGGTGCTGGGTGGAGGTGGGGGGTGGAGAGAGTAGAGAGTTAAAGGTGGAGAAGAGTCGGCGAGGATTGGAGGAGAGGGTCTTGATGAGGGTCAGGAAGTAAGCTTGTTTGGTGGCGTGGAGGGAGGAAGTGTAGGTGTGGAAGGCAGATTTGTAGCGGGTGAAGGCTTGTTGGGATCTGGTTTTGCGCCATAGTCGCTCCAGGGCACGACTGTGTCGTTTGAGAGTTTTGGTGTGATCAGTCTGCCAGGGCTGGAGTGGTCGGGGTCTGATGTTTCATGTGGTTAAAGCTGCTAGTGAGTCAAGGGCTGTTGACAGCGCATTGTTATAGGCAGTCATAGCCAGGTCGGAGCAGGACAGGGGGAGGATGCTGTCATGGAGTTGATCAGCTGCAGAGTGGGGGGTAGGGTTCAGGTTGCAGAGGTTACGGCTGGTAGTAGTATGACATTTGGAAGGGTAGGCATTAGAGGACGAGGAGATAGAGAAGGTAATAAGGTTGTGGTCAGACAGAGGGAAGGTGGTGTTAGTGAGGTTGTGGGGAGCGCAGCGGTTGGAGAAGACAAGGTCTAGGATATTTCCGTCGGAGTGGGTGGTGGATTGTATGCACTGTGCAAGTGCAAAGGAGGAGGTTAAGTGGAGGAGTTGGGATGTGGCTGGGTTGTCAATGTTGACAGGGATGTTGAAATCCTCAAGGATGATGGTGGGTACCTCGGAGGAGAGAAAGAAGGGTAACCAGGAGGAAAAGTCATCCAGGAAGCGGGATACGGGTCCAGGAGGCCAGTAGATTACGGCAATCTTCAGGGGGGTTGGGGAGAATAGTCGGATTGGATCCCCAAGGGAACCAATAAAGGAGGACAATTCACAAGTTTCCCTTCTGCAACACAGCCTCTGTTGGAGAGGTAGCCAGTATCTCCCTTTATGCACCACCCCAGACCCTAGAAGAAATGCTCCTCTTCACCCAGCAATCTGGAGATTTTCCTGAGCAGGGGATCTTGCTCCTGTCCCTTTAAATGAGATAAACAATCACTAATTGGGGGCTAATCTGGTTTTCCACCATAGTGCTCCTTTCCCTATCTGTCCAGGGGGTGCAGGTGTACTCACTCAGATCCTCTCTTGTACCCCTTGCAAGTTGGCTGCTGCCACCAGGCCTATCAGCTGGGCTGTTCCTTCCCTGCCATACAGGTGGCCTCACTCAGGGGTCCAGTGAGTTCCAAGATTTTTTCCTTTCCAGCTCCAGGTTCAGCCTCACATCTTCCCCCAACTCTCTACACCTCTCCCATCACACTCCTTCTACTGAGCAGGCTCCAACACTTTTAAAGGAGTCCCAGTCCCTTGCCAAGCCTGCTGTTGGGGATTGGCTGAGGTCTCTCAAGCGTGCAGCCAGCCACTCCTCAGATCCACCCACTGCCTCCAAGGCCTTCCTCCAAAAGTCTCAGAGCAGGGGGAAATTCCAGAGGGGCAGACCTGCAGAGCCTCTCAGCCCTGACCACAATTTGACCCCTCTGGCTATTACACCAACAGCTTCTGTCTAATCATTAGTATCTAGCTCCCCCTAGCTAAACTAGGAGGGTGCTAGACCTTGCTGCAGATCAACCATGGTATAGAACAAAGAGAAGACAGACACCCTTGTCACAACATTGTGTGTGACTACACAAGCTACTGCAAAGAAATCTCACTAGCTGGAGTTCACAAGAGTTTTAAGAATCTGGCATGTGATTAAACCTAAAGGTGCCCACCCAAAACTGAAACAGTATATGGGTGAAGTTAGCCTTTTAAATGTAACATAATTCTACTGTACATTATACATATCTTAAATTATATAATACCAAGTGACATAAAAAACTATTTTTGACCTTTGCCAAAAAAAAAAAAATCAAAGTTAATTCCTAACATTCTGCTGCTCCACAAAACCGCTGACCCAGACAGCTACCTCATTACAGGCCTGTCCTTGTTCAGAACAAATGCAAAATACACAAACCGCACTAATATGAGTTCTTGCTTAGAATGGATCAAAGCAGAGCCAACAATGCCGACCTCATTTCACTTCTGATTCTGGAGAGGCTGTTCTTTGCCTGTACTGCCCCTCAACAATTGAATTCTTATTCTTGCTGGGCTGTATTATGTCTCTATTCATCTTTTGTGCTTTCCCTGGTGGAATATAGCTGTGGTTTCCCTCTTCTACTGACATGGCTCATGCTGCTGGAATCTTTCATAGCTCTGTTCCCCAGATGCCACTCTACAGTATCATTCCTAATGAGTTCCATCCTGTCAGGCTGGCCCTCTCTGAGCAGCCTTCTATACTCCCGTCCTCAATATCCCTCTTGCTATCAGAAAGCACGTTTCCAGGCTATTGTTGCCTCATCAGCAGCACACCTGGTCCTCCGATTAGCCCACATCTGCTCATTACAACGCTTTCCTTTAAAGGGAATTGCACATTTTCTTGTCGTATTAGTTATCATCAATCATAGTCTTCATACATACCATTCTTTTTTATTTCTAAATAATCTCTTTCGCCTTGTTATCTGCTAAGTCACAGCCAGGAGTGAAATCAATGAAGCATGCATCATTTTTCATGAAAAGATCCTATATTTTAAAATGTTCATGTGTATTTGTGAGGGTCAGTTTGAATTACCTTTGTAGTAGAAAGGGGTAGTGGTATAACCACTACCATGAAAAGGAGAAAACACTATCAGGGAAATTCGATACAGCCTTAATGATGGATTTCTGGCAGTAGTTCCGTTATCTACCTGCACCTAATCCCAGGCAAGCATTTGTGCCAGTATTGGTAAGATTACCGACATGTGCGCCAAATTTGGGTAGTTCTTAACACCACTACTATAAGAAATTATAATTTTGACAGACATATTCATAAATTATTCTCAGTTTAGGAAACTTATGGTAATTAAGACTTACTCTAGGCTGGTATACAGAAGTACGCCAGTGCTTAGAGTAGACCATGCCTGTGCTGGGGAGTGGTCATATACACTATATTGCTAAAAGTATTGGGACACCCCTACAAATCATTGGATTCAGGTGTTCCAATCACCTCTATGGCCACAGGTGTATAAAATCAAGCACCTAGGCATGCAGACTGCTTCTACAAACATTTGTAAAAGAATGGGTGGCTCTCAGGATCTCAGTGAATTCAAGCGTGGTACCATGATAGGTTGCCACCTGTGTAATAAGTCCATCCATGAAATTTCCTTGCTACTAAATTTTCCACAGCCAACTGTTAGTGGTATTATAACAAAGTGGAAGCAACTGGGAACAACAGCAACTCAACCACAAAGTGGTAGGCCTCGTAAAATGACAGAACAGGGTCAATGCATGCTGACGAGCACAGTGTGCAGAAGTCGCCAACTGTCTGCAGAGTCAATAGCTAAAGACCTCCAAACTTCATGTTGCCTTCAGATTAGCACAACGGTGTGTACAGAGCTTTATGGAATGGGTTTTCATGGTTGAGCAGCTGCATCCAAGCCTTACATCACCAAGTGAAATGCAAAGTGTTGGATGCAGTGCTGTAAATCCCTTTAAAACAGAACACATATTAATTACACAGGTTCTGAGGCTGATTAAGGTGGTAAAGAAGCTCACTTAGTGCCTTACCCGCACTAAATTAGCCTCAGAATCTGTGTAATTAAAGGGATGAGGTGGCAACCTTTACGCTAAAGCAGTGGAGACGTTCTCTGGAGTGATGAATCAGCCTTCTCTGTCTGGAAATCTGTCGGACGTGTCTGGATTTGGTGGTTGCCAGGAGAACAGTACTTTCCTGACTGCATTGCGCCAAGTGTAAAGTTTGGTGGAGGGGGGATTATGGTGTGGGGTTGCTTCCAGGGATTGGGCTTGGCCCCTTAGTTCCAGTGAAGGGAACTCTTAATGTGTCAGCATACCAAGGCATTTTAGACAATTTCATGCTCTCAACTTTGTGGGAACAGTTTGGGGATGGTCCCTTCCTATTCCAACATGACTGCACACCAGTGCACAAAGCAAGGTCCATAAAGACATGGATGAGTTTGAGAACTTGACTGGCCTGCACAGAGTCCTGATAGAACACCTCTAAAATGGATTAAAGCAGAGACTGTGAGCCAGGCCTTCTTGTCTGATATCAGTGCCTGACCTCCCAAACACGCTTTTGGAACAATAGTCAAACATTTCCATAGACACACTCCTAAACCTTGTGGACAGCCTTCCCAGAAGAGCTGAAGCTGTTATAGCTGCAAAGGGTGGGCCAACTCAATATTAAACCCTACGGTTTACGGTGTGCACTTACAGGCAGGCGTCCCAATACTGTGAGCAATACAGTATAGTGTATGTGACCGCTTCCTGCACATTGCTGTGTCCTAAGCCTCATTTAGCTGTTGGAAGGAAGATTCCTTGGCTGAAAGCTAAATGTAAACATAAACAGCTGATGTCATTACCCAAATATACAGTCCACAGTGCCCTTATTTTGGAAATGACTCATCATTGAGAGAGCAGAGCCTGATGGGGAACTGAGAGACCAGTGCTCTATCAGGCGTTTCTCTTTTGATTGGCAGCACACAGAAGCGGGCGGATTCGAAAGCTGCTGTTAGACTGAATAGCTGCTATGGATACGCCCACTCCTGTGTTCTATCAGTCAAAAGTGAAGCGGACCTGATGGGCAACTATTCTCTCAATTCCCCATCAGGCTCCACCCATATGAATTCATTTTTATACACTGCTCAAAAAAATTAAACACTTTTTAATCAGACTAAAGCATCAAGTCAATTAAACTCCTGGGATATTGATCTGGTCAGTTAAGTAGCAGAGAGGGTTGTTATCCAGTTTCAGCTGCTTTGGTGTTAACTAAATTAACAACAGTTGCACTAGATCGGCAACAATGAGACAACCTCCAAAACAGGAACGGTTTTACAGGTGGAGGCCATTGACATTTTTTTCCCTACTCATCTTTTCTGACTGTTTTTCACTAGTTTTGCATTTGGCTAGGGTCAGTGTCACTACTGGTAGCATGAGGCGATACCGGGACCCTACAGAGGTTGCACTGGCAGTCCATCTCCTCCAGGATGGCATATCAATACGTGCCATTGCCAGAAGGTTTGCTGTGTCTCCCAGCACAGTCTCAAGAGCATGGAGGAGATTCCAGGAGACAGGCAGTTACTCTAGGAGAGCTGGACATGGCCATAGAAGGTCCTTAACCAATCAGCAGGACAGGTATCTGCTCCTTTGTGCAAGGAGGAACAGGATGAGCACTGCAAGAGCCCTACAAAATAACCTCCAACAGGCCACTGGTGTGAATGCCTCTGCCCAAACAATCAGAAACAGACTTCATGAGGGTGGGCTGAGGGCCCAACATCCTCTAGTGGGCCCTGTGCTCACTGCCTGGCACCATAGAGCTAGATTGGCATTTGCCATTGAACACCAGAATTGGAAGGTCCGCTACTGGCACCCTGTGCTTTTTACAGATGAGAGCAGGTTCACCCTGAGCATATGTGACAATTGTGAAAGGGTCTGGAGAAGCCGTGGAGAATGTTATGCTGCCTGTAATATCATTCTGTTTTGGTGTGGGACAGTGATGGTCTGGGGAGGCATATTCATGGAGGGATGCACAGACCTCTACAGGCTAGACAATGAAACCCTGACTGCCATTAGATATCAGGATGAAATCCTTGGACCCATTGTCAGACTCTACGCTAGTGCAGTGGATTCTGGGTTCTTCCTGGTGCACAACAATACCTGGCCTCATGTGGCGAGAGTATGCAGGCAGTTCCTAGAGGATGAAGGAAATGGCCCCCATGCTCGCCTGACCTAAATCCAAGAGACCACCTCTGGGATATCATGTTTCGGTCCATCCGACACCGCCAGGTTACACCTCAGACTGTCCAGGAGCTCTGTGATGCCCTGGTCCAGATCTGGAAGGAAATACCCCAGGACACCATCTGTCGTCTCATTAGGAGCATGCCACAACGTTGTCAGTCATGCATACAAGCACGTGGGGGCCATACAGACTACTGAGTACCATTTTGAGTTGCTGCAATGAAATTTCAGCAAAAATGCTGCATCATTTTTTCACTTTGATTTTCAGGGTGTCTCTGAATTCAGTCCTCTGTAGGTTGATAATTTTCATTTCCATCAAACAATGGAGCATCCTTATGTTCCTAACACATTACCTAGTGCATATCAGTATAGATATCCAGCATGAGATTTTTCCCCATTGAGATCTGATGTTCTCAAAGTGTTCCTTTAATTTTTTTGAGCAGTGTATATTAATATACACATTTCTTTATTTCTTTATTAATGAAATACGTAATCAAAATCATATTCCTATGATGAGCTACGTCAGTTAATCTTAAAGCGGTAATAAACTGCAAGTAAAAAAAGAAAAACCCTGCATGGTAATGTCATAATGTGCTAGTATGTATAGTATGAAGAACCTTAACACTCTGGTCACATCGGGTGTGAATTGGCATGTGATTTGCATGCCATGCGACTTGCAAATTGTACGTCAAGTCGCCCCCTATTGTCCGGTATTAGAGCGGTCATATCGGTGCGGCTCTGACTTGGCCGGAGCCACATCGATTTCTAAAGTAGTGCATGCACTACTTTTGTTGCGGCTTGCATAGACATCTGTGTCAAATGCCTTGCAAATCGCAACTGAAATCGGTAGGTCACCCTATTTTGAAATTGTGCGACATCACTGTAAGTTGTATGATTTAAAAATTGGCTTTGATGTGACCGGGGGTAAAACAAATTCCTCCAGCAGTGTGCTGTCACCACTGACAGGGCTTCCATCTTCACTTGGTCTTCCTTCTGGGTTTGCAAGCTCTGGCCATCTGACTGGCTGAGCCACAATGAGATCACTCCTGCGCAGGGGCGGACTGACCATTTGGAAACTCGGGCACTGCCCGAGGGCCCAGGGTCAGTAGGGGGCCCCATGAGATGCCCCTGGTACATTTTTCATAGGCTTTTTTGAGTTTGGGCAAGGACACAGGGGCCCCATGATCCCCTATTGCCGGGGGCCCCATGAATTGTCAGTCCGCCCCTGCTCCCACGCATGCACGCAGGAGTCCCGGGCCTCTGATGGAATGGCACAGATATGTCATTCCTCCAGAGCTCATGCATCGGCACTCAAAAATAGCTAATATCTCCTAAATGGTGCACGCTTAGGAGATATTCATTTTACCTACAGGTAAACTTTATTATAACTGTAGGTAAAAGTATTAAAAAAGAGTTTACTGACACTTTACATATAATGAATACGCTTCCATTTAAGTGCTCTTTCAGAAGGGCAGCTGGGGTAAAAACAGGCAGCTTAGCTTCCTTCCCCAGCTGCCCACCCAAATTGTCCCAACACAGCCAGACAGGACGTATAACTCAAAGTGCAGAGTATGACAGGCGATACCACCTGTCAAACTCTCCGACTGTGCAATGCATGGAGGTATAATAACACCTCATCACTTGTCAAATGCCCTTTGAATAGTGATCTGGAGCATAGATCCCTCTTTGAGGGCACTGTAGGGCACAGCAAGTCTAAAACAGCCCTAAGGGTTGTGTAACTGCTAGGTGATTCCCACATGCTTCTGAGTTTACCCCAAGCTACCCTGGTTGTTCTGTATATCATCATTGCATTGAGTAGGGAGCCATCTATTGGGTATTCACTGCAATTGCACCTGTTTTTATTATTCTTTTCAACAAAAATAGGGAGTGTCGTAAAAATATAGATTTCCCATCTGCCACTGCAGCCATTTTAGCTTCCTGAAGAACACCAGTGACGGTCTCCTCCATTCTCCGTTTGACGCACATATACCTATAGGTTCATTCGTTGTGTTTGTTAAAGTCACGTATATATCCAGATCACATTTAAATGTATTAATGTGATCTGTAGGTAGCTGTTTGCAAGAAATGTGTTCATTGTAGGCATTTGTGAGAGACATGTTTGCAAGCATATTGTAACTTCAGTTTATGTGATTGTAATGCAGTTTTACAGAACTATTCACAGAAGAAAATTCAGTTTGGAATGAAACACAACGCTGCTTCTGTCAGTTTTGTTAGCTAGCTGTTGGCTAACCATTAGTAGGACCAGGGCTGTCTTTAATACAGGGCAAAGGGGGCATCTTTCCTGAGCCCAGTCATTGTTGTGGGGCCCAAAGCAGCTGCCCCTTGAGCCCACGCAGATAAGAACAAGTACATTTGGTTATCAGTTTTGACCCCTGCCTATACCTTTGTATCTGGCAAGGGTTAAGTTTCCCTGTAGTGTCCCCTCTACTGGCCACGCCCCTTCCCAGACTGGCCCCGCCCTTCCCCCCTTAGATCAGTCTGACCACACTGACCAAGTATCTTCCCCAGAGATATGCTGCACCCCTCCCCCTCCCTGCCGGGTGAGTGGTGTGTGTGTCCCTCCATGACTATGTGTCCTTTCCTGAGCCTGGCTCCTCCTTCCCTACACCTCTAACAGAACTTCTCAGGGGGGAGGGCGGGGCTGCTGGGTGCAGTAGTGCGGGACAGTAATTGGCAGCTTTGGAGTTCCCAAACCCCAAATACCCCCCTCCTCACTTCCTGCATTTCCCAGCCATTGCTCCATAGCAGAACATAGAGGAGCAGTGCTTGTGAAGTCTATTGGCAACCAGGACTGACTGACCGCCACCTCTCCACCCTAAACAGTACCACCCCACCTCCCCACCCTCAACAATAACCCTCTCCCCTCCCTCAAAAATAACCCCCTCCCTACCTCTCCACTTTCAAAAATAACCCCCTCTCCACCTTTCC